AAGGTGAATGATATGTTTGTGGGGGTTTCTTTCTTTCTTTCTTTCTTTTTTTTTTTTTTGTTTTAAATTAAAATTCACTTCCAAGTTTTAGTTGTCATCTAGAAAAAGTGTATGTAAAAACAAAAGAGACAAAGAGAGAGAGAGAGAGAGAGAGAGAAAGAAGAAGAGACTTGTAATTTCGATAGTTTGAAAGGAACGGATCCTTCTTCAAACAGAACTGGAATACAAGCTATCGAAATGATTCATTTGAAGAACGTGATAAATATCATCGTACTGATAACTTTTGTGTTTCACGGATCTATCATCTGTCAGGATTTCAAATCGGATGATCCAGGACTCAACGAGCCAGATTTTGTTATTCGTAAGATTTTATGCATTTTGGTTTAATTTTATATATATATATATTTATAAGTTAAAAATTAATTAATTGATTAAAAATTAACAGTTAAATTAATTAATTAGTTAAAAATTAACAGTTAAAAAATTATACATGTGGCGTATTTAATCTTTGAAGAAGCAGAGGCCTGAGACGAGAGATGAGAAATAAAAACTGATTACTATATATTATAATCAAAAAGTATAGAAATAAAAATTATTTTATATCTTCGTATAAGGGCCCTAAATATCATAGGGCCCGAACTGACCTCCTGTCTTACAGCCTCTGTATAAATTCGTCATTGTATATTAAATATACATAAATTTAATAAATTAAATTAAATATAAAATATACATAAATATACATAAAATATACATTGTATATTAAATATATATATACACACACCCACACACACACACACACACACACACATATATATATATATATATATGTATTTAACAAACTTTTTTTTATAAATCTTACGTTCTATGATTTGTATAATAAATGTTTATTCCCTAGAGAATATTATAGTCTTAGGTAATAGTAACTTCGGAAGGAATCGGTGAAAGTTTGTTTGTTTCAGCATCCTCGTAGTGTCTCACACGTTTCTACGATAGATAGTCTCGATTGAAACTAGGAAGAGAAAAGGTTGTATTTCCTTACGTGAGATATAATCGTACGGCGTTGCAATCTCGTAATCAAAATCTTATTACGTTTCATAAATGATCGTTTTATATTGAAATATTAATTCGTTTAACATTTTTCATTTAACATTATCAGTATCATTATATATATATATATACAATAATTATCTTATATTAATCACTATCACGTTTATCTTTGCTTGTTTGTTTGTTTGTTTGTTTGTTTATTTTTTGTTTTGTTTTGTTTTGTTTTTTTTTTTTTTCATTATTTACTATAAAAACAAAGATTAGGATATATAACGTAACAAGTATTTAATTATTTTATATAAAATAAAAAGTTTGTTAACAATAATACTAATAATAATAATACAAAATTTATTTATTTATATGAACAAATTTAATTAATATTTGCTGCATAAAAAAATGTTAATTTTTATTATTAAAAAAAAAAAAAAATTAAAAAAAAGAAATCTTCGTTTACGGAATCGATGAAATATTTATAAGGATAGTTGTATTTCTTAGATCAAATTCAATAAACATAAATGATCGATCCAGCTAGTGAATCGATAGAAAGTTATTAAATTAATATAATTATCGAGGTCAAGCACAATTCTAGGTCGTTTTTCGAGGTTTATCGATCGGGGAAAGGACGAATTGAGAATTTCGGTTGGTTTATCGTAACATGGATCGAATTACATCGGATGCATTGTTACTCGTCAATATAATGGCATAATGGAACATGGCGTAACAGTTCTCGATGGCGTAGTTATGGTTATGTCAGAGATTACGTAATATTCTATGCGGAGGATCGGCGATCGCTCGGAGAAAGTACCAAGCCCGCGCTCATAAACCCAACTCGTTACAACGTAAGAGTATTTGTTACTTGCAAAAGCGTAGACACCTTTCTTCAAGTTTTACAACAATCGAACGAACAAAAATCAATCATCCTTTTTTACATATATACCTTTTTCAATATTTTTGTATTTATTTATAATTAAAAAAAAAAAAAAAAAGAAAGAAAATCCGACCGATTTCGATTTATAGTTTCTTGCTTTTAAAATATTTCTTTTTTTTTTTTTTCGAATGATCTATAAATCGTACGAATGTGAATCGTGAATCGTTTTTACTAACGATATCTCAAATGACTTTGGACAACGATCATATCGATCTAATTGTTCGTATGAAAGAAAAAAGAAAGAAGAGAAAAAAGAAAAGAAAAAAGAAGAAGAAGAAAAAAAAAATATATATATATATATATAGAAACAAGAAAGTAAGAAAATTCGTACGAAAATGTACGAAAGGGAGACAGAGTGTACCGAGTGAAAGTGATAATGCAATCATCAGTTGGTGGCAATGACGCATCTGTAATTGTGGATTCCAATGGATCACGTAATACTACGTAATAACGAAAATATACATAAATTGGTTAAAAATGAATAATTCCATTGATATACGTATGTATATATATATATATATATATATGTTATATAAATATGTGTCGCTTTTGATAGACGCCAATACGTAGTAAACGTCTTATTATGTTGATCAAAGTATATATTAAATACTCTCTATATTTTTAGCTTAGTTCCATGATTTCTATATTTCTTTTTGTCATTGTTAATTTTTTATCGTATGTATTTCTTTTTCTCTTTATACCATTCATATCATTTTCCTTTTGCTCGATCAAATCGATCAATATAAATCTTGCAAGATTGAGTTAAGAGAAAAAAATACGAAGAAAAAAGAAATATCTACATACATATATATATAGAGAGAGAGAGAGAGAAATAGAGAGATAGAGAAAGAAAAAGAGAGAGAGAGAGAGAGAGAGAGAGATATGCTTGAGTGTCAAGACATTACCTCGACCCGATCGATCTTATCGATCAACGTCGTATATAAGTCGCACAGTATAAAAGTCAGAAAAAAGAAATAATTGAAAACTTGACGGCACCTTGAATGTGACCTTGGATTTGCTCGTCGGTGAAACTATACGTGAATATACGTAAGTACGTGAGAGGAAATAGAAATTCGTCGAGAAGAGAGTATCGATGGTTATCGATCGGTACGGGACAATTTTTCAGATCGTCTCATTGCTCGATTTAAATTTTATAAATGAGATTGCAAAAAAAAAAGGAGAAAAAAAAAAGAAACACGAAAAAAAAAAAGGAGGGAGGTTTCAAACGACCATACCCTATTCTTCCTTCGTTCGTTCGTATTAAAATTACATCCTTTTCCCGTACGAGATAAATGAAATATAAAAAATCGATCGTAATATATATCATAATAAATAATGTTTGTTTAGTCCTTTTGTGAAACTATTATGCACGCGAGGGTCTTCGAAGAAAGTGAGAGTTTATTGATTGCGTAAAGACAGAATGGGGGGAAAAAGGCAAAGGTCCTGAATTACTTGCGTGACAAGCTTACAATTTTTTTTCTTTTTTTTTCGCCCCCCTCCTTCCTCTCCCTCCCTTCATACTCCCTCCCACCCCCCAGCCCACCCAACCCGCGTTATCTGTGATCGTTCAACCTGATTTCTAAAACGTTCAATTTGTCTGTCCGAACGTATGATCTATAAAAAAAAAAAAAAAAAAAAAAAAAATAAATGAAACGAAAAAACGAAGGAAAGAAAGAAAGAAAGAAAGAAAAAAAAATTACTCTTATATTCAATTTTCTAGCCGATCAAAGAGCTCACAAAATTCCATTACATTAATGATAAATTATTGAATATTTATAATTGTTTTGTCCTTTACAGCGGAATACATACTGCCATGTTCACGTAAGGATCCCAAATTTGAAATATGCGTGACGAAAACGTTGAACCATCTGAAGCCTTATTTGGTGAAAGGTGAGATCGTATAAAAAGGTTTACTTAAAGCAATTCTTAAGAAAGACTTTGAGATTCACGAAGTTATGTCTTTTCTTTTCTTTTCTTTTCTCTTGCTTTTTCTTTTTCTTTTTCTTTTGTTTTTTCTTTCCTTTTCTGCTTTTATCTTTTTCCTTTTTTCGAACGTAACGTTAGAACTGAAAGTACGATGAATTTTAACATTTGCAATAACCCCTCGATAAATTAACTAAGTTGCTATTTAATGAGATTACTATAATGTTATATTAAAGTATATACATTTATATAATATAGGATAATCCGTTTTTATATTATAATAATTAATCCTATACCGAGACATATTAAAGGATGAACAATAATACGTTCGTATTTCATATTGAACATTACGTAAATGCAACTTCCTTGTAGTTTTTCTTTAATCTTTTTTTTTTCTTTTTTTTTTTTTTGAAGATGATGAAATTCAGTATTAATATGTCATAATTTATCGATCATCGCAGTCGACAAAACGACGGAGTAATTTCGTAAATGGAGAGAACAAAAATTGATCTCTAATTTAAAAAAGAAAAAACATTTATTATAGATATTATTTATCATCGATCGTTAATTTTTTTTGTTTAATCTCTCTCTCTCTCTCTCTCTCTCTCACTCTATTTCTTTCTCTCATTTTCTTTATCTTTTTTTTCTTCTTCCCAAAAACACCCAGGAATTCCGGAATTGAATTTGCTACCGATCGAGCCATTAACGATACCAGAATTGGGTATGGAAAATGGGCAAGGTGCAGTTAAAGTTAGTGCACTTTTTTCGAACATCACAGTCTTAGGCGCTGGAAATTATAATATGACGAAAGTACGAGTGGATTTGAATACATTGAGGATCGATCTTCATCTAACTATACCCAAGGTCGAATTACAAGGTCGTTATGAAGTGGCCGGAAACGTTCTTTTGTTTCCCATTAAAAGTCACGGCGACTTTTGGGCACTTTTTGGTAAGGAAAGGAAAAAAAATAAAAAAAAAAAAAGAAAAAAAAAGAAAAGAAGAAGAAGAAGGAGAAAGAAAAAGAAAAAAGAAAAAATAAATAAATAAAGAGAATGAAATAAATAAAACCTTACCTCTCCTCCTCCTACTCTTCCATCATCAA